ACATTTGTGTGAAAAGCCCTTAAAACCTCTGACTTAGAACCGAGAAACTAACTCCATATATGTAGCACCACAGGTCTTTTGTCTGACGTGGAGAGCGGGCGAGGAAACCGACCGCCACATCCTACGTACGACCCATGCATCATTTCTTACTACATATTTCTGTAGCCTTGTGATCGTCTAGAATTTGTCTCTAGCTGTCTTTACTTCTTACAGTTCTCTTACTGTTTTCTTAAGACTTTTGTCTTACCAGGAATAACAATGCAACAGTTCGCTTCTACATTTTATATAGCATAGCCGAATACATATGGATACAAGCATAATAGATAACAATACTAGCTAAAACCATTTCTCAACCTTATCCAGCCTCGCGGCTGTCTAGGAACTCAGATGGAACCTCTCTGAAATCTAATGGAAGTCTAACTTTAAAGTTTACTATAGATATCTTATATAGCACTCACGTATATCATGCACAGAAAGCCTGTTCATGGCCCTGAACCTGTGCAATTAACGATATGATGCAATCCTAAATTTCCTTGCACGTGATATCTGGTGATATTTTATAGACACATATTTTGGCTAAATAACTTTTCTTTATATAACAATATGTCAATTACAGACTAAGTTGATTAAGTACAATTCTACATATGTGGGAATCTACCAACTTGCCAAAGATATTAATTAATGAAATATACTGCCACCATTAATTTCAAGAGCAAAAATTCTAGCAACATTATTACATATATGCGATGCCTTTTCAAACAACATAAACCCGTAGGTCCGTTCATACTACATCCGTATCCGTATCTGTAAATACGTACGTGAATACGTAATGGTATACTTTAGTCATTTTTAGAGAAAGGGTTGAAATAGAATCCGGCACGTATTGCGCACAAAAACAACTGCGTCAGTAAAGCCGGATTGATTGCTCCCAAATAGAAACTCAATTCATTCCAAGAAAAGCCTGGCCTTGTGTGCCCCTACTCTCTTTTTTCTCTTTCGTCTTTGGGTCCACAAATACAAAAGAAAGACTTCCCCTGTGTCACTGTCAGACACCATAATTGCAAATGACAATATGTTATCTCTGACAGACAATTCAGCCTTGAAATCCGGACGTTTTCTATTTGAACGGCAAAACGCGTATACGGATGCGGATACGTTTATGGATACGGATGTAGTATGAACCGAGCTTTTTAAATCTTCATTCGTTATCAAGTACAGGATGTGGATCACGCACTGAAAAGACCTCGAAAGGAAGGGCAATATATGTTATTATTTTGCCGTTTAAAGGAGCTAAATCGCTAATATGTGGGACCTACAAATTGACACAAATGGGTCGCAACGTATATAATAATGTAATTTGAATGACAATCTCTAGCGCCTGGTATTTCCAGTCTACACTGATAGTATTTATTGCACATCCTCTCCAGATAAGAATAGGGGTCACCGTTTGACATGACTTGTGGAATATGTCTAACCTCGTTCTTCCGAGTCGCTTGTTACAAATTGCGCTGAATCGCATCATGGTACACGATTCGTGTACCAATCGTAAAATGTTTATTTTGTCATAAATATTGAATATCAGAAGCCCATCTTTTCCCGGTAAGATCACAACACCAATGTTGATTAAAATTGACAAATAATTCGTGTTTTCATTGTCGAAGGTTTTGGATGATATTGAGTTAGAGACAGAGCTACTTTAAATTTAAAATGTAAATAAATTTTATTTCTGAGAATATGTGAAAATCGGGATGGTCAACAAATGTTACTCCGATTCAGATTAAACTAACGCTATATGTTAACGATCGGGCGATATTTGAAGAGTTCGATTTTGATCCGCATCGGACTGCAGATTTTTGGGTTATGATCCTTGCTTTTTACGCAAAATGTGAATTATGTACAAAATCTGTGTAATCTATGGGATCCCCAATTTTTGGTCCGGTTAAAACGAATTTGGTCTACATCAGATCACAATTTCTTGGATAATGGCCCTTGTCGTTGACGTAAAATGTGAATTGTAAAAATTTTGTGGACCTTCTGTATGGAAGACCAAACAGCTCTTAATTCATAGTCCTTAATTCTTAGTTCTTCATGTGTTGTCTTATTCCGATATTTATACACTAAAATTAATATTTGTATTTTAAAATCAAAATTTGTATTTTAAAATCAAAATTTGCATTTTAAAATCAAAATTTGTATTTTAAAATCAAAATTTGTTTTACAAATCAGACATTTGTCATATCAGATTTGTAAATTGTATTTTTGTTTAATTTAATTGCAGTCTAATATAAGGATAGAATTTATTTTAGAAATGCAAAAAAAAAAATAGCCTACATTTACATTTCATTATAGACATACAACGAAAAATAAATCTCGAACAACAAATTTCCAAATACAAATCTCCAAATATAAATCTTGCCAAACAGTTCTCCAAAAACGGTGACGTCATATTCTTATGTAGAGAACATGCGTAATAAATACAATCGGTGTAAATTGGAATAACCAGACGCTATTAGAGAATGCCATTCGTTTGAGACTTCTGGCGTATTTCGCCGAACATAACTGATTTGAAAAAGAGTAAAAACGGAAACGATTGAATGGAAATCAGTTTATATACATTCATATTACATTACTATATGCTTTGCGAGCTATCTGTGTCAATTTCTAGGTCCCAATTAGCGATTTAGCTCCTTTAAATTCCGGTTCAATTTTCTATAATTATTTCACGCATGAAAAACGAACCTGGTAGTAATACTAGTTTGTGTAAATAAGGGACAGATATGGGTTTTTTCAAAGGTGTGGGGTGTAAATCAACGTCTTGTCCAGTAGTATAGGCCAGGTGGCGTTAGTCTACCACTTCCGGTTTCGGAGTTATGACCCCCGAGCGAAGCCGGTCTGTTCGGGGTTGGCGGCTACACTAGGTGTGGCCCGAGTCTGAAATTTTGGGTATAGGGGTAGCTCGGACCGGGGAGTAACATAGGCCAGGTGGCGTTAGTCTACCACTTCCGGTTTCGGAGTTATGACCCCCGGGCGAAGCCGGTCTGTTCGGGGTTGGCGGCTACACTAGGTCTGCCCCGAGTCTGAAATTTGGGGTATAGGGGTAACTCGGACCGGGGAGTAACATAGGCCAGGTGGCGTCAGTCTACCACTTCCGGTTTCGGATTTATGACCCCCGAGCGAAGCCGGTCTGTTCGGGGTTGGCGGCTACACTAGGTCTGCCCCGAGTCTGAAATTTGGGGTATAGGGGTAGCTCGGACCGGGGAGTAACATAGGCCAGGTGGCGTTAGTCTACCACTTCCGGTTTCGGAGTTATGACCCCCGAGCGAAGCCGGGTATCCTGCTAGTCATCAATAAAAGAGAACTAAATTTTATTTACTTGTAATATACACAACTAAAAACAGCTGTATATGTAACTGTAATTCGTGGCTTACTGTACTCCAAACAATAGAGGGTTCGAGTCTTAAGATTTCTATTTAATTGCCTAACTATAGACACTCTGAATTTAAATTCGCTGTTAAATTGGACGCATTCAAGAACACAATATTTTTTTATACAACTTTTACAAAGTACAATTGTGTGCCCAAATTTTCCCAGCATTTGGTGCCCAAAATGGGGGGGGGGGGGGCGGCCGCCCAGCTCGTACGCCTATGCCCCCCCCCCCTCGAGACAAAAGAATATTTACTTTGGACCTTATGTAATGGTTATTACAAGAAAAACTACACTGCTAAAGTATATTTAAAGTGCAATTATTATGCAAATAACCATTTGTTACGTGTCATATTAAAACAGTTTGTGACGTTCTTATTTACATATCATACGTTCGACCAATGGTGCCAGTGGCGTAAATGTGATTTCTGATAGATGGATGGACAGAAACATCTAATATTTCCAAGTAAAAGAAAAGACAAAACCGAAACAAATACATTTTTCTAGGATAATTATCGTCGGTATCATTCCAAAACCTCGTAAGGAGGCAATTTATTTTCGAAAATCACATTTTTGCGTAACACAATTTATTAACGTGAAATACATCATACAAAAAATCAGAGCTCTGCGGTAAATAGTTTTCATTTTATTAGAGGGGAGAGAGAGAGAGAGAGATGGGGTTTAACGTCCACTCGACACAAACCAGGTCATTTCATGGCTAACATGATTCAATATTATTTCACGAGGTTGGACAGGCGACCCTACTCCTTGTCACGTACATCCGGGGAATCGAAACCACGCCAGTTGACTCAATGACAGACCGTATGATACAGTGCGCACGTGCTAACCATTCGCCATCCAAACCGTCTCATTTTATTAACATGTGACAAAACCTCGTATCACGATTGGCCTGATCTTATTCTTTTCTTAATGCTCGTATCTGCAACATCAGAGGCCTTAGAGCGATTTATATGACAAAAATGTGCTGGATAAATATAGTAATATCATAAGATATTAGGCACCATTTATACGGAGTAAATAATAACATTTCATGTATTTGTGTATATATTTTTCGTAACAAAATAAGGCAAAGGCGAAACCATGTTATAAATTTTATTTAGTGCCTATGTTTGTCAGTTTTACGCATCTATCTAGAAAAAACAAAATAGGGTGCTTAAAAATCCGATGAGCCGCTATTTCGAACGCTTAAAATAGATAGATCGCATAAGCCAATCAGACCAGATGTTGCATAGAACAAAGGAGAATGTTCTCGCAGTCAATTTATGTGTAGGCTACATGGGACTGGCCGGGTTTTGGGCGTGTAGAGCCGCTATTTCAAACGCTAAAAATAGATAGATGGTGCAAGCCAATTACATAGAACAAAGGCAATGTTCTCAAGACCAATTTTTGCGCACCTGCGGCTCACTAAGTTTTTGGGCAATCTAGTGTGAAATTAGGGTGCTTAAAAACCCGGCGAGCCGCTATTTTAAACGCTGAAAATAGATAGATCGCGCAAAACAAAAATAGAGAGATTGCGCAAGCCAATTAGAACGGATATGTCACAATTTATGTCTTACCTTCTATCTGTACCTTTTAACTCTGGTTTCCACTGAATGCGTACACGCAATACTACTATTCTGTCTCTAACGGATATGCATATAGGCCTTTTCTAATGAACCAAGACAGACTAGTCGAAAATATATTGGATGAGTACGCTCCAATGAAAAATAGACACATAATAAGACGTTACTAGACACATTTTAAAATACAAAAAGTACTTGGGTCGCCATTGTATGCACTTTTTTGTGTCCAGCTAATTTTGGTAGTCCATTTTCTAACAGCAATAACTAACATTTGGTTGCCACAAGTGAAACGTATTATATGTTGTTAAAAATTATGAACTTCCTTTATGAGTGTATCACAAACATACACAAATGAAGGTGTGTTAGGGTTGGTGCGTGTATTGAGACATATTTTGTAGTAAAGTTTCAATGAAAATAAAACGAAACAAACCCAAACTTCCATCTATATAGGAAATTATTTTCATACCACACAAGTTGATCTTTAAAAACTTAGTTGATTGAACATTGCACCTCTTACATATTTCAGTTATTCTAATGATATCAATAAATCATGTTTGGGTTGTGATGAGAGGTGGGGTATGTTAATTTAATCTGAAGTAAAAACGACCTAGATTATTATATTGTTGCTTCTAGAACGTGTATTTTCGAAATGTGTTGCATGTGAAAATGTAGCTGCATACTCTACATGAGTAACTGTCGCACAACCTTTTCATAACTTCCTTTTTACAGTTTGGGTATCTTCAACAACTTCTGTCCAGGTTTTAAGTATTACATGTGGGGGGGATCAAGTAATCTATACCTGCAGCTGTTCGCACATCTTCATGGACCTTATAATTAACAGTTAAACCTAACGTTCGTGTCTTTCTCCAAAATAACCGAGAAAATGAAAAAGAAACAACCTAATATCTCCACATCTTCAAGTTCTGATGCATCTGGCCTTGTACATCTGAAAACTCACAATATGTCTGTATGATGCTTGGTGAAGGAGAAATGTATAACAATTCTTCAACGCTGGATTTGAGTCCGACAATTAAAATTTAAAAACGCCCTTGCATTTTCAGAAATTGTATACATATAATAGTGCAGTTGACTTGGAGAATTGTGAGATGTAACAAATATAGAGAACGGCTTACAAACAACATTTAAAACGTTTAGTTGCTTTTATACATGAACACAATGAGTTGATTGTTGGATAAATTTATTATACACCACAATAGGGTGAGTACATTAATGTTAGGGAACAGGGCCATGGATTAAAATAACTTTGCACTTTCACTCTTAAATTGTTTATATTGTAAAAGAAAGTGGTTTTTAATTTTATGGAGATATGAGTTTAGCGAACTACACTGGTGACGCATTCTGACATGGAACTTCTGTCTGTAAATATGACTTGAAACTGAATAGAAAATGATGTGCTAAATATCCAGATGTGCTGGCATGACACTAATATGACTTGAAACTGAATAGTAAGATGGAGCTAAATCTTCAGGGGTGTTGGCCATTTTATCATTGTGTATGTATTATATATACCCGTACTAATGTTTCTTCTTCGCGTTTCCGTTTGCGTTAAATACTCTCAAATTTCGTTGAATCGTCATCAGTTAGACGAGGGTTGTGCTATGACACATTTCTAACACGACACCCCCGACCCTCTGAACTTTTCATGACAAATTTTCGACATTTCTCGTGAGCACAATCATACCATCAATATTCTTCTGATATGTAAAGCATACATTCCACCGCAGAACAGAATCGTTCACCCACTATAATGTAGGAGGGTTTTAGTATACAAAATATGAACATAGATACAGACATTCAGATCAATATAATTTAGAATTAATTCCAATCTTCAATCACTTTTTCAGTCCCTTCTCCCAATAATAAAATCAACTAGTTTCGGTAAAAAAAAAGATAGGGATGGGGGAGGGGCCTGCAAATAACAACGTCAGTACATGTTTGATGTGTGTACAAATTCATTTAAACTTATCTGAAGAATAACAAAAATTGTGATGGGTAGACAAGGCGACCTCTACATGGATTAACTCAGATGAGTGTTCAGTTATGCTGTAAGTTTCAGTATAAAGGGTAAATTTTCCACGTAAGTACTCGATTGTTAAACATGTAAATAAGTGTTTTATGCTCAGTCAAGTGGAAATGTGCATGCTTTAAAATATATTGAAATCTTAGAATAAACATAGGTTGCCAGTGACAACAAATACGCACACCAACAGCATGGTCGTCTGTGTCGCTCATGAAGATTGTGTTAAACCGAAAATTAACGGTACCAACTAATTCTACCAAGTAGAGGAAACCAGCGTGTAACTATGGGAAGCATCATTGAAATTGAATATCCCCGGCCCCCTATTAAATAAACCAAAGCACATAATAAAGTTTATTAAAGTTGAAATCATACTACACTTACAGCCATCTGTACTAATAACACTTATATATATTACATTTTCCAGATTAAATTTTGTTGGTAACTTGCCAAGTCTCAGTCCTTTTGATATTAACAAATTGCTTCTATAAGCCAATAAGTCATAGTAAAGTTTAAATGGGAAATGAAAACCCCTTGTTGGATATTGTGTTCATTATATTACTATACACGTTGGTTTAATAAAGGCTCGGTATTTTCATTGAAAGTTTCACAAATGGCAGGATATGTAAATGATCACTTAATTTTGTGGTTTCTAAAGATAGGGCGTCCCCAAGATTTTATTTAGGCTTCGATATGTATGAGCGCCATGGAAAACGGATCACTTTTTTTCCCCAAATATTTTATTACTAGGTGGTTTTGTATGTATAATATTATGCAATACTATGAACTATTGTTTCACACAATGCTCCCAAACGCAAAAAATATCGGCCCGTGTCCCCCCAAAAAATTGCACGAGATGCACATGAAAAACCCAATATTCACGTGCAGCATTGTGTGTGAGCCCTTTAAAAGCATGTTTTCAACGGAATGAAGCCATGGGAATGTCCAGGACGGGCATGTCTACACGTGCTATTGCCAGACAGAACGTGTTCGAGTTACTGGATCAACACGTGACCGTCAACGTCCTGGTCCACATTGCGTTACAACCCAGGCTCAAGACCGCTACTGCGTGACAGATTCCGCCCAGCGACTCGAACAGGTGCAGCAGTCGTCGGAAGACAAGGACCAGTAAGTGCAAACACCGTAAGACGTCGTCTAAGACATAGAACTAGAATACTAGTATTCTAGTTCTATGTCTAAGAGAAATAGGACTCCGTGCACGACGACTTTATGTTGGAGCTATCCTCAGGGATTATCACCGTCAGCGGCGTTTGATATGGGCTCAAGGACACCAGACATGGAGAAGAGTAGACTGGCAAAGTGTGCTCTTCAGTGATGAGAGTCGCTTTCATCTTTATCACGCTGATGGCCGTCAACGTGTGTGGAGACGTCTTGGGGAACGTCTTGCAGACTGCTGCGTCTTCGAAACGAATCGATGGGGTGGGGGAAGTGTAATGGTTTGGGGAGGCTTCACATTTCATCACCGGACCGCCCTACACATTTGCAGGGGTCGCGTTAATGCTGTAGCCTACCGTGATAATGTCTTGCAACCAATTGTTGTCCCGATGTTTCGAGCGCACCCAAAACTTCAGCACTTCCAGCAGGTAATGCACGTCCGCATATCGCCCGTTTTAGTATGGACTACCTGGCTGCTAACAACATCAATGTCTTGGACTGGCCAGCCATGTCTCTGGACATGGCACAGATAGAACATGTCTGGGATGAGATTGGACGCCGTCTGTATCGGAGACCACATATGCACACCATTGCTGCTTTAGAAGCTGCTCTTGTCCAAGAATGGAACAATTTGCCCCAGGCCTTCTTTCAAACATTGGTAAATTCCATGCGACGTCGCTGCACAGCGTGCGTAAGAGCCCGTGGAGGACACACGCGCTACTGACATCTGTGTCGTACTTTTCGTTTTGACCTTTCTGACTTTGTACGTTGATTACAGATTAAACATCTCTAAGTGTACAGATGTGTTGTTATTGATGTGTTCCCATTTGAATATTATTCACAATAAGAAGCAAAATAAATAAGATATGTTTACAGGATCATTTTGTTATACGAAAAACTAAGTGATGCGTTTTCCATGGCGCTCAGTATATATATACCTTTCAACAAAAGTTAGGACACTGGTAGATATGTAATTGTATGGACTGTGTGTGTGGTGTGTGTTTTTCTACGTATACGTAGTCATTGCTTGTTTGAATAATATATACTCTTCTAAAAAAGTAGGGGATATTCCGAAACAATACAAAACTGCGGAAATGCACTGCTGTTTTTATTAGAGGTAACCAGTGTATGTTAATAACAGGCCAATTGCCTACACATAAACATAAACAGTCCCCGTTTCACTCGCAAAGAGATACACTTTCAAAAGTGAAAATGGACGTTTTTGATTTTTGTCTTAATAATGAGTAATTGCTCCACCAATCCTCAGACATTCAGCAATTCGTCGTGGAATGCTTCTAATCAACCGTCCAATCACGATTTGGGGCAATCTGACCCACACCTCTTGTAGTGCAACGGCAATTCTTGCAGTGTTGTCGGTTGACGTTGACGTCGAAGAACTCGTCTCCCGGCCAAATTAAACGTTACGCACTAAAGCAAAGATACGCTAAACAGTAAAGCTTATAAAGAACCGATAGGAAAGCAAACATGGATAGGATAAACCAGCAAGCGGCAGTTTTCATCAACCCTTCCTTGAAGTGTCAAATTTGACAATGAACCCCTCCCACGTGTATGGCGCTATTGCGTGTCGCATGTGGAGCACAGTGGTTCTGTTGGGGCGATAAGTTCTTCGTCTGTGAACATGCTCTCAAAGCATGTCAAGTGTCCGTGACTATTTATCATATCACAATCTGCATAGGTATTTGCATTTCAATATCCCCTACTTTTTTTAAGAGTATATTTAATTTCACGGCTGACGGTGTTCCTAAACACAAGTTTCATGTTAGCGTCCCAAATTAAAATGGGAAAGTCCCTTTTTATTTGCATAATTCTCCATCTTGTTACCCAAGTAGCAAGGTTAGAAAACACGAGAATATAAAAAAATTCAAGGCTGGATATCAACAATGAAAGGTTTGATACTTGACACCCAATTAGGTATATGAACAATATTAACGACAAGTCAACAACTTTTGCTCCTTCTTTGATT